GTGACTAGAACAGTCCTGAGAAATTACATAAAAGGAAAGATTTCTAGAAGATCGTTGATGATGGAAACCTTCATATTTCTCTATTTACAGGATTAATTAAAAAAAAAAGATTTATTACCACCCTGAATCAGTGTCATATGGTCGGTGATGACCTCACACACCGTCTCCCAGCTCCTAAAAGTGCTTAACAATGTAAAATGATAACATGATGTTGTACTGGGCATGGCTCTGAATTGAAGTAATATTAAACTCAAACGCATAGACATCGCCCAGCAAAGGATTTCTTTACATTTGTGCCCAAACACTTACAGTCATCGTGTTTCTGAACAGCTCCAACTCTCTCAGCTCGGTTTCCCTGAGCTTCCTGCCCAGTACAAGATCACAAGGGGCAGAGCAGTCAACCGTAGCCATCCAGCTAATAGATTGGAGGAGAGAGAAGGGAGGAGGAAGGAAGAGAGGGGAGGAGGAAGGAAGAGATGGGAGCAGGGGGGAAGGGAGGAGGAGAGGGGAGGAGGAGAGGGGAGAAGGAGAGTGCCTTGTCTGGCTGTGTCTGCGTGATTGTGGAGACACACACAGCTTACTACCACACATAAGGGTGGCTCCATAGAACCCTGCAAGGGAAAGGAGCCACCCTAAAACAGGATATCAGGGCCAGTGCTCAGGGTACCAGCTGATTCTGCAGGAAAGTAAAACTTTTAAACATCCATTGTAAGTGATTTAATCAGCATTTGAAATATCTGGGTAGCTACTTTTGTTCCCCATGGTCCCGGTGTGTGTTGTAAAGTAGTCACCGCTCCAAGCTCACTCCCGGGATGGACTACAATCTCACGTTTAGTTTACTAATTTGTATAGAGATTGTAGTCCATCACTGGAGCGAGCTTGGAGTGGCGACTACTTTACAACACACACAGGGACCATGGGGAACAGACGTAGCCCCCCTCCAGAAGGAAGGACAGTGTCAGCACCAATTCAGAGATGATTGGAGGATCTACAGCCGAGTGATACACAAATAAGATACAGTGTTGTTCAGAGTTCAGGGACTTGAATGTATTTCTAAGATTTAACTCCTGAGTTTAGTGTCACTTTAAAGGAGAACAATGAGGGGGGGGTGCTTTACACTCACCTCATAGTTCGAGCCGACGTGTGACAATGAGACTGTTACAGGTCGGCTCAGTAGATCGGGAGGTGAGCGAACACATACCGGCGTTCGCTCACCTCTTGATCCTGTCACCGCTCTCTGCCATGACAGGGGAGGGGCTGGATTCCCTCCTCCCCGCTCCAATCCGCCAGCGCTGACTGGCGGAACGGATGGGGGAGGGAACAGCTGGCTCTGCCTCTAGATAGGCAGAGCCAGCTGTCACTCACGCAGCTGGGCGGATCCAGACATAATTGTCGGGATGCGCTTCAGCTGCGGCGTCTCTGTATACCGCGAGCAGCAGCTTGCGCTATACTGAGCTTAGGGTGACGGGAGGACGCTAGTTTTGTGTCCTCCCGTGACCCTAAGGAGAACTTTGGGGAAAAGCCCTGACCCCGTAGTTCTCCTTTAATGTTTATGGAATTATGTTTTATACAGAACTCCTTACAGCTGGATGGAGTCCTGGACACACAGCCTCGTGTATAGATAGTGACAGACCTGACGCAGCAACTTCATAAACTACAACAAAGTGACAACGGGCCGGTTTCCTGTTTGGGATTTCCGGGCAGAAAATAATCTGCGTTCTGGAATTTTGCCTTCCGATATGTCGCCTTCTTTTTCTATATATTGCCTTGTGACGATCTCTATAAACCATGACGTACAGCATCCATTGAAAACTTCTTTCCATATATCAGTTTTGATAGGAGCTTCAGGCAAGACACAGACCAGAATGGACACAATGGAACGATTAGTGTCTGCATGTGGAGACTTGCACAGGGGTGAGGCAAGGAATGGACCATCTAAAATATCCCCCTATAGAGAAGTTGTATAACCTACATACACTCAGATACTAATCCCCCTTACCACCAAACCTAAAATATAATCAGCTTATATGTTACTTTCCTGGGTTCCTCCCACCTTCCTTATTAACATGCTAATAATGTTTTTAAATAAAACCTTTCATTACACAGCTTATTTTAGACCCAGAGGTGTCATCACTGGGTCTCTGTACTTCTCTATGCAATGCAGGCACGTCATTACTGGTGGGAGGGGCCGGCCGGGTGCTTCCCGATAATATCACAGCACCTTGCCTCAGTACTCCAATCAAAAGCCCTTAGACCTGATGCAAGCAGTGGGCTGGCTCTTGGGAGGAGTTATGCAAATATCAAAATGCCTCGATGGGTGGATGTCATTCTGGAGGGATGGGGGTCCCTAGGCAGGGTGCATTTGCATAGGCAATGACCCCATGTGATGCTGAGCCTCCATGACTGACAGAACTGAAATCCAATGAATGAAAGGGGTGGGGCCAGGGATAGGAAAGGCTAGATGATGCTGCAGGAAGCTCTCTCTGACTTGCTGTAGCTTCTAATGCACATGGTGAGGAGCTCGCAGTGTGCAGTGATATCAGAGGAAGACATTTCAGTCCCGGAGAGGAGCCGGTACAACTGTGAAGACCGATGGTGAGGCTGGAGAGGGGAGATTTCCCTTCACTTCCTGACACCATAACAAAGATTTCCCCTTTATTGGAGCTTCGGTGACAACTCTAACCTTCCAGATATTTAGTTAGATGTTCATCTCTTTCAGTAACAGTTATAACTTACGGTGCCACCTGACGGGCGCCATTCATACAGATAACGAGCATTGTGATAAGTGAAGGACGGATGGTGCATACACAGCGCGCTAAATACTGAACCAGAATTACCTAATTGTGCTTAATAACCCAAATCTTCCATACAAATGACTCGGATAAAGACTCATAAATCGCTGATGACAGCAGTGACAGCGGCTCCCATTATTCTTATGCTCAGCGTATGAATGAGCTGAGAGCGGCGGGCGGGGTGGCGGAGAAAATGTGAGATTCTTTATATCCTCATTAGTATGTCATGTGAGTTTCCCCCGAACGCTGCCACGACCTGCAAAATACAGACTTAGGACCCCCATGCAGAATACATATTTAGATATGTGCACTTCTGATCATTAGCACTGATCACATGACCGTATTCTCATCCATAGGACCAAGCAGCATTTTTACTCCATGTCCGGACCTCCTCTGCCATACAGATGAACGGAACACCGAGACACAAAATGTTACAATATGTATCCAACATGCATCTTAATTACAAACAACTTCCTTTCTCTGGAAATGTGTGCACAAAACACGCTTAAAACACATGCATGTTCAAACATTTAGTTTGTGGATAAAGCTGGACTACAACTTCCAGCATGTACCACCCACTAGAGTCTACCTGCAGAAAACTACAGGAGGGGGCGGAGACAAGACTGGTCACCCTGCACAAGGAGAGAGAGCAGCAGTGACCAATCTTTATTACAGGAGGGGGCGGAGACGAGACCAGTCACCTTGGAAAAGGAGAGAGATCAGCAGTGAGCGGTCTTTATTACGGGAGGGGGCGGAGACAAGACCAGTCACCCTGCACAAGGAGAGAGGGCAGCAGTGACCGGTCTTTATTACAGGAGGGGCGGTGCCAAGACCAGTCACCCCGCACAAGGAGAGCAGCAGTCACCGGTCTTTATTACAGGAGGGGCGGTGCCAAGACCAGTCACCCCGCACAAGGAGAGCAGCAGTCACCGGTCTTTATTACAGGAGGGGCGGTGCCAAGACCAGTCACCCCGCACAAGGAGAGCAGCAGTCACCGGTCTTTATTACAGGAGGGGCGGTGCCAAGACCAGTCACCCCGCACAAGGAGAGCAGCAGTCACCGGTCTTTATTACAGGAGGGGCGGTGCCAAGACCAGTCACCCCGCACAAGG